GTTTTTAAAAGAGCACTGTACCTGTCATCAGGTCAAGAGCGAATTGGGTAGTTGGTTGCATCAAATGGTCAATCAAAGTATAATCCGAGCGAGCGTGTGCAGGTGGAGCCATCCTAGCTGACGAATCATGGTTCATTCTATGTTTGTCTAGTTTGTAGTGTCCAGTGAGGACGAATGCGAGATTATTAAATGCTACAGGAACAGGCGTAGAGGCGAGCGCAACGTAGTACATAGGGTGAGTAGGAACTAAAAAGCGATACACTTCTGAGTATGTTGTTGTGTCATGTTGTATTTGTTGTGCAGGAGATAAAGAAGATCACCAGAACAGAATGCAGGAAGCAGTAGAGCAGGAGATGACGGCCGGAGATGGGAGCTTGGGGGCGTATCGCAGAGCACGGAGCAAAATCGGGGCTTACGGGATAGTTGTTCTTGTTGTGGGCGACCTTCGGCCACCTCATTTTCGTCAAAGCGCGGACTCCGAGTTTACCTCCATGAGCTGTGTTGGGTGGTACAGTTAGCTACCCAGCTTCACTGTGCCGTAGCTTGTATTGAGAGTTCCACAGGCGTGGTTGCTCGGATGGTTCACCTGTCCACGGCTCTGGAAAAAACACAGAATGTACGGTCGAAGATTTATGCAGCAATGGGCAGCGCCAAGAGCGGAGCGCGCCGCCGGGGACGTGTAGTAAGTCTACGAGTTTTTATAGGTTCGAGTAATAATTAAGGCGACGGACTGGCGTTGTGTTTTTTATGATGTGATTTTATTTTTGTGTATTGGTTTGTAATCTGATGTTTTTGTTTGATTTTGGTGGTTGGTCTTGGTCGTTTTTGGTCGTTGGTGTGCGTGGTGTGTGGGTGACGCTGGTGATGTAAGAAAGTTGCTGAATCTGTGGACATGTTAATGGAGAACGAAAGGCTGAGCAACAGAAGCCAAAGTGTGCGAAGTGGGATGATGGTTTTGCTGACCCGAATTGCAAGGCGTGCTAAGCACGCAAGCAGCGATCACAGCTGTGAAAGATGTAGGTTAATTGTGAGTGGTAGAGTCTGTTAAAGAAGGTAGTCGCGCCCATGACACTGTTTTTTTTCTCAAAACCAAGAATAAATGTGTTGCTACATGAGTGTTTCTGCAGCCTAGACGATAGCAAGAATAGTTCTTGACGCCGTTAAGGTAGAAAGCGTCTTGAATGCGATGTCGGTGATCTGACAAGAATTTGAAACTTTACCATCGACATATGTATTGCGTCGCTATATGCAGCTTCTCTCTCTTCGACCTTCTTGATGCATGCTGCATGTAGTGGGTGACAATTCTTAAACACCAACCTGTCGATCAGTGGATTAGCGGAAAACCATTGGCAGGACCTGAGCATGATCACTCCGTGCATGGGGCAGCACTTAAGGCCTCGACGGATACAGATTGAGTACCAACACATTGCACTATGGCAAAAACGTCCACGGACTTGAGACAGTGGAAAATCTTTAACTGCAATGTGATGGACTTCCTACTGCTAACGAACTCAACATGATGAGAACAATACTTCCTGTGCCAGATTTCCTGAGGACCCTGCTGTCCTTTGGGACGGGTGAGCATGATAACAGTATTAAAAAAGAGTGCGCTCAACGCAGCAGTCTGCTCCTGGATGCTCACCAAGGGCGAGAACATAATTGTATTGACTGGTTCACAAGGGTTGGTGTAATACGAACGATTTACCAATTGGTGTCTTAGGTAGTGATAGGAATGAAAACTGAGCTTGACTGTGGAAGGGTAGGAGAGTAAATGGGAGAAGGGTTGTTAAGATGTTTAAATCGGCGGGTCTGCGGTTGCCTGGACAGCGTTCTGGTATCTTGTAAGGAGACTGGATGGGTTGAAAAGCGGAGTCTGACCGAAGAAACATCAGCTGGGCGCCTTTCTTGCGTTGTGGTCTAGCGTTCACGGGCTATGCTGCGATGTGAAAATGCGCGATGAATAGAAAATGGTACATGGTGTTGGTAGACGAGCTCAAATCGTAAGCATGGCCTCGGAGTGATGATTTCATAGTTCTGTAAACTAAACGTACCACTCATTAACCGGGAGAGAAGTCTGGTCCCGTCGCGTTCACGGCCTCCATTGAGTCAGCGATGGCCTCCGTGGGAATGCGTCCTTGATGACGTGCGGAGTGTAGTAGTAGGGAGTGTTGGTTGCTCTTTTCCTAACCGCATGGTGACCTATTGATGAACCGGCACTGGACCTTGTGCTCCTCGTGTTTGGGGCAGGTGTCGGGCACGATCGCGGGGCGGGTGGTGGATGTGAGGTGCCCTCACTGCTGAAAGAGGCCACAGTAGCTACAAGTAAGACGAAAGTGGTGTGTTAACTTTTGCAGCAGAAGTTAACGTGTGTTCTGCTGCGCTCGAGCACAATGTGAGCGTGGTACGGTGTTTAGATACTCTTTAAGGAGTAAACCTGTGTGTGCAAGTCATCATATGGCTTTTATTTAGGGATGTATGTTGAGCGTTGGATTCTTACCTTGGCTGGTGCGCGCTGGATCTTCAGACGGTCTGTTTGCAGTGTCCCATGTCTTTCGAGTCGAAGACATTGTTCATAATACCTGAAGAGGTACATGGCTGACAATAGTTGCTCCAGTTCCAAAAGGTGAAACACAAGAAGATTTCAAAACACGCAAGATAACATAGGAGAGAGAAGATGACGGTGGTGTGCTGGTAAGTGCGAGGCCTGCAGCAAGTGTAAGTGCAGGGTTAGGATAATAATAGAGAGAGGAGAGTCGTCTCACTTTCCTGACAGGCACAGGACATTCACTCGTTTAAGAGCCGTTCCTGCAGCGGGCTGAGGCCTTTGCGGCTGGGGGAGCACGTGGCCTTGTCGTCTGTAGGGCGCGTATCGAGGCAGGTTCATACAGGGCCGTTAACTGATCGTCAACAAGAACACACACACACACACACGACACACACACACACACACACACACACCGCCGCCAAGGTTTTTATTGGTATCTGCAAATGAAGACATTCACTTAGGCGATGACGTTTGCCTGTGTGAATGTTAATTAATCTGTGCAAACATAAAACTAAAAAGCAGGAATCTTTGAATAAGCTTAACAGATGCTTGACTTGACACTTCATATATGTCTAAAATGACAAACTAAAGCATGGTGATAAAATTGTGATCCATTTTCTGTAAATTAACATGTCTAATTATTTTTTAATTTAATTTACCTCAACTTGCACCACATGTATCTGATTATAAACAATGTGTCCCTCTAGGAAGCTTGTCTTGGCTTACAGCCCTGTTTATACCACAAATAAAATGAGCTATGAAGCTACATAAATCAATAGGGCAACTTCCACTATATCACCCTTCAGAGCAAGATATTGTGCCAAACTTAATATTTTAAACAATAAGTAATTGCCCCTGTCTCCACTGAAGCATTGGGGCAAACATTATCAGCTGTTAATGTCCAAATAAATAACCATGTAACCACAAGGTTAACAACAAATGTGAGCCATTTCCCACCAATATTCTGTCTGTGTTTTCGTATTTATCGTTTATTTTGTCCTATTAAAATCTATTTTCTCAATCTGTGGTAATTGCTACTGTAGCTAATTCTAATGAAATCATAAACCACAACTTCCCTCAACATTTCAGTACACTTACTAGCGAGTATAGTTTCACATACGTTTACTTATGGCGTTTGATACAAATCTGGGTTTTATGTACCTTACTCTCCACCCACAGTTAATGTAATGTTAGCATCCTGAGGAAACGACTGAGGTTCAATAAAAGTCTGAAATGTAGTGATAAACATTTCCCCCTGCTCATATTTGATGCTTATGGTGATCAAGCCGGTGTAACAGAGTGTATAAAGCCTAATTTCTCATGCAAACTCACGTTGAGCCTCTTAAAAACAAACTAGTTAGGTGAACTTATCTGTCTGTTGTCACTAATATTAGCTGGTTAGCAGCAAGTAAAATGTAGTCGTAACAATTATCGCTATTTAACTTGGTGCCTGGAGTATATTACATAACCAGTCAAAGCCGTAAACATTTGTTAACAGCAAGACATCACATACACATTCGTTAGCCAACTAAACAAGAACTTATTCTCTCAAAAACTCAGAAACAATCCGCAGCTCTATCCGGCTGAAGGTGGCTAAGCTAGGTCACCGTCTCTCTGCTCCCACAACAAATATCTCTGAGCTAACGTGAGCTAGCCGATTAACTTCACCTCTTTCCAACCGCACAGGCTCCCCGAGCGACGCCATCCTGGAAATGAGTGGCTCTTTGATGTCAGATAGATGGTGCGCTAAACGCTAGATATGGGAAAACTAAATTTGGTAATCCTGGCTAGCGTTACGTGCGCTTAGCCGAGACGATAAATCAGATTAGCCAAGTTAGCCGGCTAGGCTAGCTGCCAGTGTCATGGTGCGTTCAGTGTATCCTCGTAAAGCGGAACAAACACCGAACTCCTCGTATTCTCTTCCGTAGGTCCTGGATGTTGCCGAGCCAACGCTGAATGCCTCTTCCCTAACCATGTGAATCAGTCATTGTTTTAAATTATTTATAAATTATATATTTCCAAAGAACCCAGAAGAAATTAAGTTTGTGCGTTGTATAGGCCTATCACGTTTTAATATATTGTACTAGAATATATCTACCTATCTATCTTGCAACTACAACTATTTGCACCTTACCTTCCTATTTATCT